CGGGCCAAGCACCCGCACAATAAGTAAGCATAAAGAAGACATGAGGTTCGTTAAATGTTACCCAATAGTCAACCATATCTGATACACTGTCGACAACAAGCCTGCGTGATATGCACAGAAAAAATGAGTAATAAAATTGGTAGGACATACAAAAACCCAAAGTTCCTAAATTGAAACTAGCATAAAGTGGCTCTCATAAAATGTGAATTAGAAGCCCAATATATCTGTCTCATGGTCTGAGTTAAAGTTCAGGCAAGAATTGCAACCCGTTGAATTCTTACCACTTTCAAACTATAAGTTAACTCCAGCAGTTTACCTTAGTTGCATGGAAGAAAAGTATGTTCGGACTTCGGAGATACAAAAATGTAAAAGAGAAAATACTACTTGAGGGAATACTTACTTGGAAAACTCAATGAAGTAATCAACAGTTTTCTCCGGCTTTCATCCACCATAATCACCAGCCCATGGGGGCAGTGAGTGATGAAATAGTGTGAGCATCACCTTCATTCCATTAGACCGAACTCTGTTGATTATCCATTTATATCGCTCCAGTGCTGCATAATTGACCTAAAAAGGAACACCATACGGCCTACCTAAATGTGGACTCATTTGAGTTGAATATAACAAATCAAGGAAACTTGGATGCTATGCTGGTGTCTTAAATTTGAGCAATAATTATCCAAACAAAAACAATTACTTTCTATAGACAGGACGATTCTTTTTCCCTTTCAGCACCAGTGAGAAAGCCTACTACGTAACCTTTCGATTCTCTTTTACTTACTTAAATCCAAGGATCCCTTAACAGTCATTGCAAATAAAAAGGCCACTCCTATGTGTTTTAAGAATGTGCATAAGAGGGAGAAAGAGAGGAATAGGGGATATTTAAGCTATGGTCAAGCATTTGAGTTATCACCATAACTTTTTCTCTTGCCGCACCCATGGACAAACAAACGTGTTTCAGTTGCACACCAAACCAAAATTAGATCCAAAGTCAGACAGAATGAATCACCTACCATTTGTATCATTTTCTGCCTATATCATGAAAAATGGAAACACAATAGACGAAAAGCATTATTGCATACAGTAAAGCAGCATCAAACTTACAGCATCCTTAACCCCATTAACTGGCTCCTGTGGCATGACTCGGCTCCAGTCTATTCCCATCCGAAAAATACTGATGCCAGTATCTTTAGCCAGCTTCAGTTCCGTGTCAGGATCAGACCAAAATTTTAATCTCTCCTCCCTGAAACAATTAAAGCAAATCATTTCTCACGTTGTAAAAAACCAGTGAGGAGTAAGAAGAAACTTTATTGTAAACAAAGGAATCGTTTATCAGATAATAAGGCTTACGGGTAAGGAACATTGTGCCGTGCTGCTACATTATGATGGCATTCCTCTGAGGAAGCAGTCTCTTTTCCTTCTTCTTCAACCTCATCCTCTACAAACTTTTGTAGCCCTCTTATCATGGCTTCCATGGCAACCTTAAGGGGCTTCTTCTTCTTGCCAAACTCTTCACTAGCTAACGGAGCACGATGCGAACCACCATCAGCAGCAACACCCATCACTGCATCAGCTTCCACTGGATCATCACTTGTTTCTGATTTATGACAAGGATTTTCTTCTGCAAACTGTAGCCAAGCATCATTGAGCCTGTCTTCCACATGTGCTGGCGCTGTTGCTAATCCAAAGAGAAACCCGTATTGCTCCTCACCTAAGCACATAAATTATCAACAATCAGATGTAAACTAAATGCCTCAACTTGTCACTTAACTAATTAATATCAACTCCATAAATACAATAAAGTTAAAAATGGGTTCCCCCCCCCTTTCCCTCTCTCAATGAATAGGAAATTAATTCTAATACAACGGTATTTAATTTTCTTTTGTCCGTACACTCAAATAGGGAAATATCCAAATAAATAAATAAAAGCAAACAACTTTATAAGCAAGTAATTTTCTCATGCACTTACAAAGCTTCACTCTAAATATACACAAATGAAGCTAAAAAAGGACGAGCAACATTTATTAAAGCAATATATATTATTTTTTAATATAAATTATGTATAACATTTTTTCTAAATTCTCTATTTATATATAAGAAATAAATATCATATTAAAAATTTTATCCTGATGAACATTAAACTTCTAATAATAAACGATATTAAAATTTATCGTACCTCCTCTGGATCTTTGTCTATCGAGCGTTTAAAACTTCATATCTTCTAGAGTTCTTTAAAACTTCTGAAATTTTATGTCCTACAAACAGTTACGAACTCTTGATGTGACCTTTAAAATACTTACATGATTTACAGTCTAGTATTTGACTTAAGGGTCACTATATAAATCACTAAACATGACGGGATGAGGGAATCAAACCCCTTTCTCACAAATAGTCTATCTCCTAAGCTCAACCCCGCCATTGTTCACTTGTTCTTTCGGTTCATTAAATCATCGATTAATCATCGATTAAAGCTCTCTATTAACTAAAGTCGAAAATAATACCATTTTAATTTTAATTTTATTTGAAATATATATTTTAAATTTAAATCACATTTGAAATTTGAATAAAAATTTAAATTAAATTAAATTAAATAATTTTTTGAAATAAATCAAAATTTCTTCATCACATTGAACCCAAATTATTTGTATAAGAAATATAGTAGACTGACCCTTCTTTCGTTCGGCCTACCCATTTCTCAACACATTTTAAATATATACTGAAATACATTAAACTCATAATTATGAATTAAACCGACAATATTTTATAATAAGTAAATTTTAGTAACTCCATTGACACAATGAATAATAAACATGTTTCGATCATATTAATAATCTTTAGAGTAGTTGGTTAAAGTTCTTAGTGTACATTTTTCATCTCCTCTAAATTATGAGTTCAATATTCATTATGAGCAAAATTCTCATTCCTCCTCTTTAGATAGAGATTATTTGGAAAAATAATAACTCATTCATGACTAGCTTTCGCAATTAATATAAACCTCGGCACTGGTTACTCCTTTCTTTCATCTTTAGTTGGTAAACCACGATATTAGTTATAATGTTAATTATCTCTCATTGATATTCTTTATTTTTATTTTGTACTATTATTTTTCTTTGTTTCTAATAATTTTGTCTTTATTGCATATTTTTCTCTCTTTTGATATTCTTTTCTCTACATTTTGATATATTTTCCTCCGTCTTTTGGTACATTTTCGGTCTTCTTTATTAGTCGTTTGACTATTCATTTCGTTTATTTTCTCAGGGTTAGATTTGTTATCATGTTGACTTTTCATGTTTTGATCATCGAGTTAGATTTGAACACACAATTTACATTCGTATATAGTTTTCTCACGATGTTTGACTCTGATTTGCATTTTTTTGATGATCTTTCAGTAATTTGATCTCTTATTGTGGTTGGTTAGTCGGTGCAGTCAAATCTGTTCATTTTTTGTGATCTTTCCGTAATTTGATCTCTTATTGTGGTTGGTTAGTCGGTGCAGTCAAATCTGTTCATATCTATCTTTTGTTTGAATTTTGTGGATGGATCTTTCACATTTTCCTTGTATGATCTTTATATGATCTCAAACGATTATCTCTTATGTCAATGATGATAGGAGAATGTATTAAATATGTATTTAATTTATTATTATAATTGTAAATATCTATTCTTATTTTAAATGTTTGGATATGATATACAAATGATCCCCTGACAATAGGATATTGTTTTGTTGAGTCCCCCGATTCTAGAGAGTTGCTTTGTTAAGTCTTTCAACATTTAAAAGTTACAAAATGGACACCGACTATTCATTATGTTCCAAACTCGTCCTTTTTTGTTAAAAAATTAACGACAATATGAGCTGGGCATTAACCTGTTGACTGAGATATTATAGAATTTGATTTAATAATCTCAAATTACTATCATATCTCAGTCATAATGTTAACGTCCAACTCAAACGACCGTTAATTTTTTAATGGAAAAAGACGAATTTGTAGCATAATGAATAGTCAGGTGGCCGTTTTGTAACTTTTAATGGTTGAGGGACTCAACAAAGTAATTCCCTGATGTCGGGAGACCTTGAACGACTTTATCCTAAGTATTTCCATATTTAATAAAACAAGATGCTTATGTTTCTATATATATATATATATATATTCATTAGAACTTCTATATAAGTCAAGGAATTACGTAGTTTCACATACTGCACAAACTTATAGCCAACTTTAACAATTCCCACCAAACTTGGCATATACATCCCTTTAATATATAAAAATAAAATTAGGGCAAAACAGATGTCGGGAGTAAAAAAATAGAGATTTGAGATGGTATTAAATTAATTAAAAAATAGAAATATTTTATAGTACAAACTAATTCGTTAGCAATTAAAATCGATTTTAATAAAATTATCAGCAACATCTAACAATTCTACTTCAATTGAGACTAAATTAAAAGGAAATTAAGAGTATAACAATTAAAATGAAATTTTACAAAAATGACTGCAATAAAATGAAATGATAAATCTAAGGAAGGCGGTCAAATTTCACATAATTATAAGTTATGAAAAATTATTATTTTAATTTTTTACTTTTATTTTTTTATAATTTAGTACCAAAATACAAAACAATTGATGCAAAATCGTCGGTAATTACCCATGAATTTTCTAAATTTATTCTCACTTGTCGATGACTTTGTCAGAGTCGTCTTCATTTGCCGTTGGCTTTATCAAAATCGTCTTCATGTGCCGACGACTTTGTCAAAGTCATCCTCATATGTCGATAACTTTGTAAAATTCATGCTCATCTATCGCGTACTTTATCAATTAATATAGAATATTCTTATTTCCCTAATTAATCTGATACCATCTTCAAATCTGTTTTCTTTTTCCGACACTCGTTTTCTCATAATTGAGCCATATATAAATATATACATATCTCCAAAAATAATAGTTATGTCGATGATATAAACATAGTCATACAAAATTAATTGGCGGTGTACATATTTGCATTTCACATGTCGAAGTTGAACTGGTTCTGTAAGCAACAAAAATCTTCATCGTCGAAGCAAAAATCTGTGCCATCTCCATGGTTGTAGTAACTTCCAGAGGGATTCATCAAGGACGACTCAGAGTAACCAAACCCAGCTTGAAAATAATCGGGATTAGGGTTATAATTAACCGAGACGCCGCCACTGTAACAATCAGTCAAATCCGAAACCGATGAAACTCGAGTCTCAATGGAGTTGGATACACTATGTGGAGTACATCCGACTCCACTGGGATCATTACCTATAACCCCAGCGCCTGCATTGCCGGTTGCATCAGCCTGAATCCTTTCAACCAACCTAGGCATCCATTGGTACCGCAGTGTGTCCTGGAATTGTTTGCTGTTGACGTCGCACTTAAGTTGTTTAGCATGTTTTTGGACCCGAGTTCTCCAATAGTTCTTGATCTCATTGTCAGTTCTTCCAGGCAAGTGTTGAGCGATTTTGGACCATCTGATATAAAATTAAAACTCCTCCATTGAGTAAAACTCAAAGGAGATAATAAAATAGTTATGTAAAGAGTTAAAAACATGCACCGATTTCCCCATTTAGAGTGGAGTTGAAGAATCAGAAGCTGCTCCTCTTGTGTGATGTTCCCACGTCGAATATCGGGGCTGAGATAGTTCAACCATCTCAATCTGCAGCTTTTCCCCGTACGTTTCAGCCCTGATTCATTCAATTCTATTTAGATACCAATTTGTAGTACGACATAAAGGGAAGGTGGTAATAAATATAATACATTCGTAATAACGTTTGATAAAATATAAACTTTGATCTTTATTTTTTTTTCTTTTTTGAAGTATATTGTTTCAACCGTTTTATTTTGAGGTAAAATGTCGTCTGATTGAAAAGAAACTGTTAATTTATTAATGGTTAATGTATGTTGGTGACGTGAGACTGTCACGTGTCCAAAGTGATGACATGAAACATGTTATATGTCGAAAATGGTGACATGACATATTTTTATATGTCAAAAATTGATGAAATGATACATAATACACGTCAAAAGAGGTGACGTGGCAGTCTCACGTTAGCAACAAGCATTAATCATTCATTTGTTAACTAACGGTTTCAATTTGATCATGGGGTATATTACCCCAAAATAAAACGTTAGACTAAAGTGTTTCAAAAAAAAATAGAGATCAAAATGACTATACAATCAAATGTTAGGAGTATTTTTTGATATTATGTCTAAATATAACGATGAAAGGCTTAGAATTTACCTGCAGAATGAGCAAGAGAGTTCCATCGACCTTCTCCATGAATGGAAATGTAATTGATGAGCTTAAAGTCTTCTTCAACAGTCCAAGGACCTCTTTTCAACTCCAACTGCTCCTCTTCACTTTCCATCTTTGCACCACAACTACTACTTGCTTTAACATCCATTTTATTTTTCCTTTAATGGAGAGCTGTGTTTGATTAGTATTTGGAAGATACTGATGATGTTTTTTTATACAGAGAAATGAAGGAGAGAGAGTTGGATTCATAATGGATGGAAAGATTGAGAAGTAGGGTTTTATAGAAGTGGAAAGGGATTGGTTTGAATATGGGATGCAAATTAGCCGCAATAGCAGCTACTTTTATTTTAATTCATTGATTACTGAATGGATTTATATTTAATCAGATTATGTCATAAGTTGTATATGTTTTTTATTCACTTAGCTATGTAAATATTACGAAACGGATTGGAATAGTTGTTCCCTTCAAAATTTTAAATTATTATATATTTTATATGTCACGTATTAATTAAAACAGATTGATCACATGGCATATGACACATATTATATGTTTTTCTCATTTCTTACTTTTTACTAAAAAACTTTTATTGTTAATTTTTAATATTTACAAATTCTTTATAGTAGATTTTTTTAATATAAAAATTACTTTTGTACAAGTAAAATTAGAATAAGATCAAATATTATATATATATATGAGATAAGATTCAATTACACAATGTAATTTTTTTAGTTTTTTCACAGATTTATGATTGTTGAATGAGTAAAAACAAACTACTGAGATTAATAGTATAAAATGAAAAGATATTCACTAAAAAAAAGTTATGAAGTTAATATAAGCTGTTTATTTTTATACCTTCAACGATTATAAATCTGTATAAAACTAAAAAAACTACACTATACAAATAGATAAGAGACAAAACAATCTAAATTAATTGTCAGGAAGTACAAGTTATTGTTTGGTGGTGGTGGGAAAACACATAAGAAACGTGTTTAAACCAAAGCAATGGAAACAAGTCCATAAACTAATTCTCAAGTGATGAAGATTCATGCTTTGCTTTCATCTCGAGATTGATTAATGTAATTAAGATAAGCAGCAAAGAAAATGACAAGCACCACAAATTCATTATTAATGTCTCTTCTCGCCCCTTTAATTCCACGCACGCCTGCATTACCACACGGCTCCAAGTTCTATCATTAAATTAATCAAACAATTTTTCCTTGTCTCCCATTTAAGTACTTGGTTGAAAAAAATGGGTGAATGGAGCTGAATGACCAATAATAATATTAAGGGTAAACTTCATTTGTTTCGTTGAAAGAAATGGCTGAAAAAACTGTTACAACATGAAACTTTTTTATGAATAAATTATATTATTTATTACTCAAGTGCAATAATTCCGTTAATTTTTTAACGGTGATGTACCAAAACGAAAATAAAAAATAAACCTTATATATGATTTTAAAACAAATGAAAGTTTAAGTACTAAAATAGGACAAAAATAATAGTTTAGGTACTAGACATATAATTTACCCTGATATTAATGATCAAATTATTACTCTAAAATTTCAATACAAAAAAGAAATTATTCATACAACAATAATCATTTATATAGTTTACTCACTAAAATAACACTTATTTATCATTACACTATAAACTTGGTCGAGAAATCGAAAAGCAAAGACTGAAGCATACTTTTGTTTGCATTTCAGACACTGGGTCGGTTAAAGACCAGCATTATGCCATTATTAGCTGCAATGCATGAACTACAAAATTTGATTATTTTATCCATTAAATATACGAACCGTGGTAAAATAATAGTAACATGTATGAATCAAATAGTTTTAGTGGTGAAAAACCTGTTATTATTTTTTAAGGTTTCGGGTTCGAACATCATAAACATTAGGTGTGTAAGCGTTCAATTTCAAATAGTTAAAAGTTATCTTTGAACATATATTATCTTGTATTTATAGTAACTTATCTTACCTTTTGTCATTAAATTCCAAATACTATGCTGGCTGGATGACAGACCAAATTTATTTATTTACAACATTAATTATCAACACATAAGCCATCAATTAATACTTTAATGTGTCTATCAATGCTTTCCACACAATTTAATTAGAATATTAGAGCGTGAGACACCACTCGTGCGTTTTGTGTCATTCTTTTGTCAACAAAAGAAGCGTAATTAAGTTCAATACTACTTTCATAACATTATGTAAGTTCAACTTAATGATTTCGTGTTGTTTCGAGTTTGAATATTTGTTTTCCATAAGTAATTGAAATAAATTAATTTATTAATTAAAATTTTGATGATTCGACTTTACAATTTTTCTATTTGTAACTTTGTCTATATAAATCGAAAAACTAACCATTAGATCCTGAATTGATTGATATTTCTGAAATCTAAATTATGTATTTAATCATTTATTTATTCTCGTGATTTTATTTTGGTCATCTAACTTTTATTCTTTAAAATCATACTTAATATTAAGTTTTGGTTCTGTTTTGTTCACCTGCCGTTAAAACATGAACATAACTGATGATGTGATAATTTTTATTTTTCTCAATAATGACACGACATTACCTTATGGTGACATATCATCAATTCTATTTATCTTTTAATGGTGGGTGACCAAAATAGAACCAAATATAATGTTTGGTATGATTTAAAAAATATTGGATGATTAAAATGAAACCAAGAGAATAGATGGAGGACTAAATACATAGTTTACCCAAGAAATAAATTTCAAATTGATGTCCTCATGGAGTCATTGGTTAAAGAAAAGGGGAAAGTGTTCGGTGAAAGAAGACATTAATTAAACTAATATATATAGTTTGATTATAATGTATATACATATTATTATTAGGGTAAAGTACATAAATAGTCTTCGATTATAGAGTATTACTTTCAGGAGTGGAACCAGAAATTTAGTAAGGCGAGATTAAACTATTTTTTTATTTTTCATAAATATGATTTTTTTAATTGAGGGGCCGGCTAAATTTTTCTTTATTCATTTTTTAAAAATATATATATTTTTCAATATTAATTAATACTTAAAAAAATAGTGGTGGTAAAGGCTTCTCTTGATTCCCATGAAGTTCTGCCCATGATTACTTTGTTGAGTCTCTCGAATATTAAAATTATAAAATAATTACTTGACTATTCATATATTACAAACTCGTCCTTTTTCGTTAAAAAAATGGGATGTCATATGAGCTGCACGTTAACATACCGATTGGGATATGATAATCATATTTTTATTATGTCTATTGGTACCATCGTTACTTTCAAGCATTGACTCAAAGACATAATATTTTAAGCATATACTTGACGATATAATGTAAACATAAAGTCGGTTCGGTTCACAAAATACAGCTCAAATAGTTTTGAGATCAAAATTTATCATATCTAGTCAACGGGTTAATATTAAGCTCAGCGACCTCTAATTTTTTAACGGAAACGGACAAATTTAAAACATATTAATAGTCAGGTGACCATCTTAACAATAGTCAGGTGACCATCTTAACGCAATCCCTTATAGTTGGTATATTATTTGTGTACTTTATTCTTATTATTATTACAATTTCAATTACCTATTAAATGTCCAGTAACCAAAATCAAACCACTAGTTTGTTTTTCATTCTTTATTTCCTACCGTTAGAATTTGTTTTATGCCAAAGATAATTGTAGTAAATTGAATTGGAAATGGTGAGCCTTTTAAAAGGTAAAATGCTTGGCGAGGCAAGCAAATGACACCTCCACTAAGCATGCATACATGAATGCAATATTCATTATGAAAAAATACTCTATAAATCAAATAAAATCAAATTAATTAAATTCAAATATTTTGATCATTTCTATATATAATTATAAATAAGAAATAATTATAATATATAATTATAAATAACACTCACGCCTAATAAAATTTAAACTAAAATAAATCATGACAGTCGAGGTCTCACTATCTTATTGTCAAAATATAAACAACAATTTATTCTTACATAAATGTAATCATAAATTAACTACCATGTCTTTGATATTACTTCTATTGTATCATTGAACATTCTACGTGTTACGTATTTGAGTGTACTTATATATAGAATATTTTTTTAATTTAAAAATTAAAAGATATACGAATAATTTATATATTAAATATAAAATATCAAGTATTATATTTGGGAAAAAATAACTATTATATATGGTTTTACTTAAATAAAATATTAATTTTATTAAGTTGACTTGTAAAGTTGTTACTAATATAAATTAGTAAAAGAATGTTTTAATTATATTAATTATAGACTACTATCTTATATTTACATTGTTGTCGAAACAATTAATTCAATTTTTATTCAATTTATATATAAAAAAAGCTAATAGCTAATCAGAAGAAATATAAGTTGAAAAATACATACTTAAGAAGTAACTGTCAGAAGTGAGATTTGAACCCACGCCCTCGTTAGAGGACCATTAGACCACGGTGGACAATTCATAATTTCTGACTGCCGGAGGTCTTCCACGGAAACTGCTTTTAATCTGGCGTTGGGAGCAGCATACTATCTTACCTCCCCCTCACCCCATTATATATGATAATAGGGTCAGCTAATTTTATAATGATTATAGGAATGTTTTTTTTAACAAATCTTAAATTAATTATAATCGTATTTAGAAAGGAAGAGAAGAGAGATTATAGGAGAAGGAAGAGAAGTGCTCTTAATGAGTCTAAAATCTATGACATAAGAGAATATGCGAGAATAAAGATGAACAACTTGACTACCTAAGTAGATATATTTGCTTAATTATATGAATGTTAATATGTATGTAAGAATAACTTTTAATTATTATATGTTTTGTTGCGATTTGTAGTTTTTAAAATTTGAATTATGAGACCTATCAAATGGCTTCAACGGTTAAAGATAATGTTGTTCTCTTTTGCAGTCTGTAAGGTGTGTGTGCGTTGTCAATGGTTAAGAAAGATTTTGAACGAATACTACCTTGTAATCACCTCATACTGATAAAAAGATTATAATTATGGTATAATGACAAAATTAGTCCTTAACATTTTGTTTTTTTGGTCAAAATAGTACATGTTTGATGAAAATCGTTAGTTGACTAATGATTAATACATGTTCTTGATGTGACATTTTTATATGTGTTTAATTGATGACGTGGCATATGCCACACCATCACTTTGATGATGTGGCTTTTCACATGTGTTTA